CGTGTGCATGTAAGGCTGCAGTGAAAGGCGGGGTTAGCCGTTCATTTTCAGCAGGATGTGAATAAATTACATCTACATGCACCCTCGGGGAAGGAGGTTTATGCAACTTTATTCGTGTGCATTCGTTACCGCCGCTGATTTGCAGACAATACCTTGCACTTGCATCATTGCTCGAAACGCTTGGCTCGCTTCGGACTCATCCCGCGCGGCAGATTTGCATATCAAGCGAAAACACAGGCAATTAAGCTTAGCAAAAGTGACAGGGAGCGACGGCCGAGGAGGAAGGTGCGCGTCCGCGGAATCACTCATGTGGCGGAAAGGGGAGATGAGGAAAGAGATAATCCGCCGTCAAGTGTCCCCTCCGCCGGCCGGAAGTGAGGGGAAGGAGTGGAGGAACAATGCTGGTGTTTGGCCGGCGTTTTGTGGCGGGGAGACCGACGCCCTCCTCCGGGTTCGGGAAGGAAGGAGCCTCGGCCTCTCGGTGTGCTCTGCCGCTCGCCGCTGTTTCCTCTTGCTGCGAAAACCGTTTGGGTGGTTTGTTTACATGCGGCCGTGTGACATTTCAGCGACAGTGATATGACGGAGTTTGTTTTCCTTGTTGTTGGGGTCTAGAAAATGAAAGGTCAGAAGAAATGTCAACTACCTGACATTTCTGAAAAAATAGGCACATTTCATTTTCACCTCTATACAATGGCATGATATATTTATATAAAGAAAATGCTGAAAACAAGACAGTTGTTTTATCTTGTATATTTACTGTCTAGAATCTTTGGAATTCCTCTCGATTGCTTAGAGGAGAGAATGCGGTCACGTCACGCAGGTGCCTCTATTGACGTCAACACAAAATCGAATCTCTAACCCCACTTCCACACCCCATCCTCACCCAACCCCGCCCCACCTAGGCCGCCCTCATCCACTCACTCTACTCCACCCTTATCCACCATCTACTCCACTCTTAACCTAGCCCATACCCCCACAACCAAGCCCACAACCCCACTCTGAAACTCCTAAGCCCTTGCAACCCACCCACAGCCCCACTCTGGACCCCCCCCCCCGCACGCGCCAGGGCCAAGGCCGAGCAGCACTCACTAACTCACGGATGACTTGGCCCCCAAATATTGAAAAATGCGACCCCGGGTGACGCAGAGCAACGAGGAAAATAAAGTACATTCATCGACGGGCGTGACGTCACCGCCGTTCTTGTCCTTTGAGTCAAGAAAACCTCAAATCCGCGCGGGGGATGAGTGAGAGTGAGGGCGTTCTTGAGTCGAAATGCGAAAGGTGGGGAGGCGTTTGGGTGCGAGTGTGAGGGGTTTAAAAATAGGATTGAGTCGGTGTCCTGTCGGAGAGGAAGGTTAAAGGGAGAGTATCTTGCCTGATGTCCTTTTTGCAATTAATTGTACAGAACGGATTGTTTCATCGCTTTATACTACCACATTTTAATCCTCGCTGTCATTTATTATTGAAATTATTTATTGGGTAAAAATTCCGATACTACTCAAAGTGCTTTCCACTGAGTTGTATAACATCCATTGCCGCCCTTCAGTTGTTTTGTAATTAAAATATGTCATGACGAGAGTGCTTCATGATTTTGCCAAATTTTAAACCGTTTTCATAACCTGCGTTTCCGTAAGTGACGCGATAAACTTCCATGACAAAATATAATTGAGCAAAGCACTAATAGCCCCGATAAGTTCACTTTACCAGCAAACTACTCGCTGCTATTTTCGAGGAACTGGTTTATTAATGGTGATTGCTAATGGTGAACTGTTTATGTTTACATTTCTGGGAATATTAGTGTTCCAAATCCTTCCCAGTTACATCTAGGATACGCTCTTGTTCAGCGAATGCCATATGGACTTATACTCGTCGGAAATATCCTACAGATGTATTCTGAAACGCTCTAGAGTAAATATGTCTCTTCTTGGAACGTTCAAATTTGAATGACCAAAAGCGTCGCTAGGAATTAAACCTTTAGCCTATTTTGCAACACGGCATGCACTGTGTTGCCATGTTGTTGTTGTAGAACTGTGTCTAAGTATTTTTTAACGATTTGGGATATTGATATGTTTTTTGGCTATCATGCATAGCTAGTTTATTAGTATATGGATTAAGTGTATGCATAGCTTATCGATAATGTAGTCGAAATCGTTTTTTATTTTATTTTTAATAGTTCCGCCTGGAATTGTTTGAATAGAGCGGGCGGTAGGGGGGTGGGGGGTCGCGGCCGGCTGTTGGTGTCTGCTCCGTCGTTACCGCATACTTTTGTAAGATATCTTTATTCAGTACCTCATTCATCATCGTGATCTATTTAGATAATAAATACCAACTGCATGATATTAGAAGTGTGTTGATAGTATTTAAAAATCAGGATTTTAGGCGGCGCGAAGGACTTTTCCGAAAAACCGTAAGTGGCAACTCGGGCAACGTTGAGAATTTCACGTTGAGGCCAAGAGAGCAGCTGTCAGTTAGGGGTTTACTCAGGTCGGGTGGAGAGTGT